TCACCCTGGCTTTCAGCTCCCTCTCCCTGCCCTGCAGCCTGTCCAGGGGCAACGGGAAGGCTCCAGGGGCTCACCCCAGCCTCCAGCTGCCCTCCCCGGCCTCCAGCTGCTCCCCTTCCCTGTCCTGCAGCTTGTCTGGGGTTGGACCATGGTTCCTAGACCCAGCTGTCCTTGGGAGGAGGCTCTCCTTCAGGTGAGGCTGGGCCTAGTTCTTGTCCTCTGCTCAGGGCTGGGATGGGAGGTGCAGGGAGATGTAAATTAGGGTAAGAGAAAGCTGAACACCAAATTTCGTGGTCTTACGTCTTACCATTTAGGAGGAGTTCTTGAACAAATGGATTCGCAGATAGACACATGACAAACTCTCTAAGGGTATGTCTACACAGCAAAGTTATTTCGAAATAACAGCCGTTATTTCGAAATAACTTTACTGGCGTCTACACAGCCAAACCGCTATTTCAAAATTAATTCTAAATAACGGAGTGCTTATTTCGAATTTGGTAAACCTCATTCTCCAAGGAATAATGCCAAATTTGAGATAGCTATTTCAAAATAAGTGCTGTGTAGACATTTATATCGAAATAGGGGGCCTCCAGCCTTCCCAGGATGCCCCAGTGGCCACTCCAGCCTCAACCAAGAACACTCCTCTCTCTCCCCCCTCCCCAGAGCCCTTAAAGAGGTTGGATCTGGCCACAGTTCCTGTGCCAGCTCCAAGCCTGCCAGCCCAGAGCCAGCAGTCAATGCCCCTGACCCAGTGGCCCCAAACATGAGCCAGCAAGCCACTGGCAGCCAGCCCTCCACCACTCCCCAGGAACAGTCTGCCAGCTCCCAGGAGCCTGCCAGAGTCCAGAGAAGGCGAGCGCCTTCCTGGTCCAGGGTGGAGATCATGGACATTAATCAGGTTTTGGGGGATGCCCCCAACGTCCATGATCTCCACAGTAGATGGAGGAACACAGCCGTCTATGGCAGAATAGCTGCCAATCTGGTCACCAAAGGCCACATGCGAACCCAGGAACAGGTTTGCATGAAAATCAAGTTGGTCCGGTGAGACCCCCCCCAACCCTGAGCCCTGAGCCTCCCCTCCCCCTTCTTCCCCTTGCTTCCCCCTTCCAGCTCCCTCCTCCCAGGTTTCCCCCTCCCCTCTCCCACCCTCTCTTCTCCCCTCTCCCACCTCCTTTCCCCAGTCTCACCAGAGTTTCATCCCCACACTCCAGTTTTGTTAAATAAAGAGAGTTTGTGTTCATGAAAATACATGTATTTTATTTGACATCCGGAAGGGGGGTTAGGGAGGGGTAAGTGGAAGGACGTGAGGGAGGAATGAGGCACAAGCCCCCAGTGGGGCAGACCAGGGAGGCTCTTAGTGCTCCTCAGGTTGGAAGCTCTCCCACAGGGCCTTCTGGATTCTGACAGCCCTCTGATGGACCTCCCGGATGGCAGCCTGCAGAAAGTGCAGCCAGGCTCACAGCAAAGCATCCACGAGAAGCACCACAGTGCCCAGGGTAGCCCTGGCTCCATGCTGCAGAGTGCTGTGGTGTCCCGAGTGAGAGCAACCAGAGTACGCAAAGACAAAATGCTGAGAACCAGCTTATTGCATATGTCCAGGGAGTGGTCCCTTTAATCACAGGCCTCAGATAGCCTCAGGCAGCAGCCACACAAAGTAACTCCTGACCTGATGCCCTGCCGGTCCTGGTTCCATCCGGCCTTAAATGCGATTCAGCGTCCACTCAGTGTGGACGCACAATTTCGAAACAGCAAAATGCTATTTCGAAATGCATTTTATGTGTAGACGCGTTATTTTGAAATTAAATCTTTTGAAATAAGATATTTCGAAATAACTCTGTAGTGTAGATATACCCAAATATATAGAGAGATATAACTCGAGTGCTATGTGAGTGATAAATTTTTCAGGTAATTAGGTCATATAGTTTATAAACAGTCTTCATAATAGTTTAGAAGTCACCTGGCTCACACTTAAGAATATAGAGCCTGGTTCTCCTCTCTGCTCACAGCATTGTAGAGACTTTGAATTCAGGTGAGTTATTCTAGATTTATGTTGGTGTGCATGCAAAACGAATCAGGCCAATAGCTTTTATTTTCAAAGTTGCCCTTCCATTAACTTCCCCCCGCAGTATGAAGGACAATAGTCTTTAGCCTCCGTTTCCCACCCTGTGGTGTAAAAGTCCAGTGGATGAATGTCCCTTTAACACACCACACCCCTTTCCCTCTGCTACACACTAGTCACAGTTGGTTGTCTGCAGTCAGCAAGATCCTAGAATTCAGAGGTGCATTCATGTGGGTTCACTTCTGTCTTCTGAAAGGGGAATTAAGCAAAGCCTCTGCTGCTGCAACCGCTGCTCTCACCACTACTGCTGCCCTGTTATCACTTCTGCTTCTGCTCACCATGGTCTCTGTGCCTCTAGCTGCAATGCCATGTGCTGAGGTTCCACTACTTAGCCCACATCTTAGTGACTTCAGTTCTTAATGATTTCACTGGGTGGTGGGAACACCCACTTTTGCTCAACACTGTCCCCACAGCAGAGCTCGGTCTCCACTCTTAGACTTGCTTACCAGTCATTTCAGCTCTTGTGGTCACTGACTAGGACCGTGGTCCCCAACACGGTGCCCGCAGGCGCCATCGCGCCCGCGGGGGCATTTGTCTGCACCCGCCAAGTGCTCAGGGCTGGTCTGGCCCTGGGCACGTGGCGCATGCGCGGTGCCGGAGCCGGCCCCAGGCGCATGGCGCACGGTGAGCACCAGCCCCGGGGGCACCGCGGATTGACCCCCCGCGGTGCATGGGGGGGGGGGAGCGCCAG